AAACTTTTTAGACGAATAACTCTGATATTATATATATATTGTTAATGGGCTAGGAGCATCATAAAACACGAATCAATTGATATTTTAGGTGAAATAAATATACGTGTTGCTGTGCTTGAAAATAGGCGAATGGCGTAAATTAGCCCTATTTTAATGAATTTTGAAAACCTTTCGTCCACCACTTTTCAACATACAGCAGAAAACACATACTTTTGTGAACAAAATCAACTATTTATTAATAAACTAGAGTTTAGGAGCAAAATAATCATGTATGATTTATTAAAAATTGATCTCGTATTTTTTGTTTAATGTACACCTGGAAAGTTGAAGGTACCAAAAAATGAGCAAAAAAGGTCGCTGTCAACAGATTCTATTTTTCAGACTCTATGACGTCACAATATGGGACGCTTCCTAAAATTCATCCTTTGAAATAAAACTTCTATCTACCTTTATCAAGACGAAAAATAAGTATAATAGTCATATATTGTTTGAGTTATGAGCGTTTAAAGATGAAAAATAATTCAAAATGTAACGTGTCAACATGGGATATTTGCCAGATGTTCTGGTAAAAAACTCTTTTTTAAAAACGAACGCGCAAAAAATGTGAACGGAGTGTAGTTGATCTAAAATCTTCATCGAAACAGCTTTAAAATGATATATAACTTTAATTAGAATATTATCTTATAATCCTGGGAATCAAAGTTACATTCACGCGATACCCTTAAAAAACAAATGCGCCACCTTTTTGCGACACGTCATTCAAAGCTTTCATTTTACGATAGGCCCAGGATCATTGGATACGACTCGGCAATCGATACTCCCACTTTAAGGGAATTTTGTAATACCCTGCCATGTTAATTCCCCGAATCAGCCACCTGTTGGCGAAACTGGTAACTACCTAATCGCATCTGAGTAATTCTTATTCTTGATAAATGTTTATGAACAACAACCCTGGCGCCCGATCACTAATAACAAACATTATTTGGAAATTAGCCACTCAGAAGTTGCATGTCCGATTGTCAAGAGTCCCGAAGTAGTACAGTCCGAGTAATGAATTATTACTCTCAGCGTTTTATCCGGGCTAAATAATTACTGGGAATCAATGTTCCAACTATATGAAATTAAAAAATGATAAGAAGCAATTTCCTCGTTATTTTATTTTAATTCAATTAATCTTTCAGTAATATTCGCTATGACAGTTCAGTATTTTTAATGGTTAATTAATCACTGTATTTTGATTGCTCTCAGATCAGAAAGTCTCAACCATTTTACGAGAATTTAATGTTCCTTTACTAGATTCGAAACATATAGACCAGACAAAAACATCAACGAATCCACGCCCGTACCTTTGAACACGCGCGCTGATTCAAACCATTACAATTGTAGTAGGCCCTATGGGGCAGTCAATGGATTGCATGGACCTCGTGTTACTATTATATCAAGGATAAATTACACCTTTAATACTAAAACATAACAAGCAAGAATGACTCATAATGACTAGAACATTGAAATCAGTTTGTTTAATGCACTATATGTAACAATGATGGGACACAATCCAACTGAGAAGGAAGTAAAATAAAAAGGAACCCAGCAGTTGTCTGTCCTCTGATATAACCCCTAATTCCCATTTTATTAAAGACAAAATCAAAGCTAAACGGAGGGAAACCCCCAGAGTTCAGAGATGAATTCATCTTCTATGGGCGATTGGTCAAATAACATAGGAGCTGTTACGCGGTAAACACGATACAAATATATGTCATATTCCGCCACGAATATGGCATATTCACTTGCAGTGTATGCCGGATCCACCTGCGGCATATGGCATACAAACTAATCAATGAGAACGCGAATCAACATCTTAGTGCACTGATTATTTCAACTAATAAATTTGAATAACATATGAAGCTTATAAGTGACTTTTATAACCAAATCAATAGTTGACAAGAGCCAGATTAAAACTTCAAAAATCACGATATTTATATATTATATATTGTTGTATTGGCAATCACGATTTACACATTTCTGATACAATTCAGGAGTATCATTCAGCAATTACACGTAATAAACGTACTTAATCAATCCAGGATTCATTTATATAAGGACTCAAAGCGCTAACTATATTGGTAATCCAGAGTAGTTTTACATTTAGAATCGATTCTTTCGACCAATCAAATCGAGGCTATCTGTATCACGTTTTCATCTGCGGTGTATGGCATATTCCGCAGTTGAGTATGCCATATTTCGCAGGAGATTATGACATATTCCACAGAGAGTATCTGGTATCACTGAAATCTATGTATCGCATATTCACTGCGGAATATGCCATACTCACCTGCGGAATATGCCATATACCGCAGGTGAGTATGGCATATTCACCCGTATCACAAATAGCGCACAGCCATGAATATATGCCATATTCCGTGTAACAGGAGCTACATATACTGTACCGAGAGGAGGGAAAACCCGAGAACTTAGAGACGATAGATATAATTACGTCTCTTGTTTACCACCTTCGTTTGTCCGAATTTTCACCGGCGAGTTTCCTAATACCACATGTCGTTGTGATGTCTTAATCAATGTTATAATATCTAAATTGAAGTGAAATAACAAGCTATGATATTGGTCAATACGCCATAAATTAACATAATATTATCCAAAGCGTTTGAAACCTCCATTGAATGACGGCATTTGCAATTGTCCATCGATTAGACCAATCAGGGACAATGACTTCTCAATGATATTATACAGATTTAAGTTAAAGACACATGTTTTTCTGACCCCTAGGGTTTTCCCCCTCTTGGGCTAACGGAAACAAAATGGCGGATTCAAAATTTTATAAAAACGTCCGGGATTACTCTACAGACATCGCTGTTGAAAAGGTAGAAGACAAAAAATCTTGGTTTAAAATTGGTGTGACGTTTGATTGAAATCAAGAGTGCAAAATATCAGTGAAAAGGCATCACTAGTATATTTTACTTTGTTGTTTTTTATGTGTATATAATCCTACAAAAAGAACGACAAAATGGTTCGGTTCACTTCAAATATTTGACTTTTTGTGATGGTGGTCTTGAGTTTGAAATCTATTGAGAATCGTTTAAAATGTCGAATGGATGGTGGAAAATTGGTCATATCTGTTTATTTCAATGGCCTTTCTATGGAAAAACATTTTCGGTGTCAAAGGGAACATAATAGCTATACCGTGGTATAAGGTATTTAATTTTCAAGAGAAAGTTTACTTTTGATTTGTTGGATGAATATGGGTGCACTCACCAACGTTCAAGAGTCAATGTTTATGCAATAAATCAAGCAACAATGATCAACACGACCTGTAATAAATACTTATAAGTGACGTTATCATCACAGAAATATGTCATTACTGGCTTTTTAAGTTAGTTACTATACGATCGAAAATGATTCAAATTGAACAGAGGGGAATGGACGGAGGGGGGGGGGGCAATATTATTATTATTATTATGAGCTTTATTATACTTGTATCCCACATTTGGGCAAAGTGTACAGCTTAAACAGAAAAAATGAAAAAGCTAATTATAATTAAAACTAATTATCTATATAGTATATTAACTAATCAAAGGGTGCTTGATCATTGCAAGATTTTATTGGATGCATTTCGTGTTTTTTTCTCTCTCGATAAAAATATTAGATATATATTTTGCTAGTATATTTAATATTATTCCCTCTGAATTAAATAGAAACATTAATTTATGTTCCACGTTATTCATGTTTTCTAAATTTTGACAGTGTTTTTTTTTATTTTATCCATGTAACTTGACCGAACATCTTTTAACTTATTGCATTCTAATAGGAAATGGCATTCTGAACCGGTTGTTACACATTAAACATTTTCTTTCTTCAATATGTCCAATAGAAAAAAATTAATTCGTGTATTTGAAAAATGAGCTCTGACTCAATAAAAAACTGGATGTGTCATGTGACATCTCTGGAGAGTGAAAAAATGGGAAAATTTGGTGTTATTGGTAATAAAGTCAAGTAACATCTCTTATCATATCTAAGAGGCACATTGCCCCCCCCTCCGTTCATTCCCCCTCCGTCCAATCCTAATTATTTTCGATTATTTTTTATATAATGTATGAAAACTTATTTTAAAACGCCAGCAATGCCAATAATTGTGTTTTGATAATGTCGCTTGAAAGTACTTTTACAGGTCGTGTTGACCTCCGTTCTTTGAGTTATAGCAAAAACATTGACTTTTGCACGTTTGTGAAGATGCGCCTATTTTAATCGATCCCATATCTAAGTGCATTGATTAATAACATTCTAGAAGACACTTTTTCAATATTAAACTTTATCCTGAAAAAATAAGTCTTCCAGATTTATTGAATGTTCTAGCAGGAATCGATTACTCCCCCCTTTCCGATCACCGGGCATGTTGTTTTGATCTAAACATTAGCTTCCCAAGTAGTGCACATAGCATAGGGTATGGCAACATCGTAAAGTATTTGGGCATACCTTTCTTTTATGTTCACTGTTTTTTTGGCCGTGAGGTGCTTTTCTTTGCTAATTGGACATCTTAAATAATTTATCAAATAGATGAAAATTTGTTGGTATTAATCACTATTTACTGCTCCGTTGATTTGAAATATGAGGGACGGTATATGGTCAACATTTTATGTTTCGTGTATTTACCCTTGTCAAATACTCTCAAGAATTGATGTATCTTCTTTCGTTTGTATTCTTTGATGGGGAATCGGCGTCTTCACAATCATGAATGAGAGCTCGTAATATAGAGAATGCGAGTCGGAAGAATTCGACATAAGTCTCCCATTACCTTCATGGCTGTTGAAAAGTATTTGCTATTAGACCGCGGAATGACACAACCATAACCCTTCAAATATAGTGTGCTTTAGTGCCAATGATAACATCGAGAAGAAGGAAACGCCGTAAAAAGCTTTATATCCTCCGGGATTTATACTTCATTATTTAGTTATCTGAGTTATCACGAACACAATTTACCTGTTATAGTTCTTGAGTTTGAACAAAGCAGACACAAGCAGTTGAAGACCAGAGCGCAAACCACGCGACGCAACACTCGGCTATTGAGACAAGGAAAGCGGAACAACTTGGACAACGTCGGGGAACCCTCTGAAGTCACTGTTATTAGCAGGTACATATACAAGTATTTATAAACGTTTTAATTCAACTATAAATCATGGTCATTAATTTTCATTGCACAAATTATTGGGAAAACACTTTAAACTTCGTATGAGATTGAAATAAGGACGCCAATCAACGTTAAAAATGCCCCATGCAAAATATTCGAAACGTTTTTAAATAATCCAAATAGTATTTCTCATTACTTAAAAAGTTGTGAGAGACATTATTTACAAAAGTTGACATCTGGAAACAGTTGTTAGTCTTTATTGTTGAATATTTGAATGTCCCGCCATTATTTTCTACTTGTAACTCTATACAAGGGCCGATCCAAAAGTCCTGATAAAAATAACAGACAAAATATTTCATGTTTGGGACATCGAAACGGAACCGAACACCAAAAACAGCGTTCAAAAGTCTCCTGAAAATATGATATTTGAAACTTTTCGGAATAATCTTTGGAAAACATGACTCTATTTTAGGACTAACAGGCTGAATACTTTTGAACGATCTAAGTTGAATTTTAAGGCAAGCAATGTCGAGACATTTTATTTTTATTTTATTTTGCACAGTGGCGATATTTTTTAGTTGAAGATCCACCCTATGCAAATTGAAATTGTGTCGATAGTTACATGTACTTTATTCTTTAGCGACACACCAAACATCGATACTCTCTCCGAAGCAAATGATTTTATACACCGTTTACAGCCTCCATTCAATATTGGTAATCAAAATGATATCGATACAAATTGCTTTTGCACTTTGAAAGTCATAAACTTTCTATGTGTTTTTTTTTTAAAAATAGGAAACATTTATTCGATATGTGCTCCCTCTAATTCATAAACAATCTTATTTAATTCCTGTAATAGATGCCCTTTAAGATCTAGAGGCATAGTGCATATACCAAATACAATATTATTACAAATTAGTTTTAAAAGCACAAGAGCTATAAATCATGAATTGTATATGATAATTCAAAAAGTAAAAATAGTTACAAATATCTGTTTGTTCTGCCATTGTGAAAACTTCATCTTCATTTGCAGTGGCGTGTTTCTTCATGCGTAACCGTTGCATTCTATTGTTACAATTCACAGCTTCTCGAAATAAAATCTATTAATTATCATTTTTTAAAAAAGATGTTTAAAAAGTGAAGAATTTAGAGTTCTAAGAGAAATGATATGAACCAAGTAAAACCAGCAAGATCTATTTAGTAGATCTATACGTGGGGTGAATTTATATGAAACGATGGGAAGGCTTGCATCGCATTAGCAGGCAAGCCTCATAAGTTCTTTTTGCTTCATTTAGAGCCCGAAGAATAAACGCCCAAGGGAAAAATGACGTTTTATTACCACTGAATAGAAGTGGAAACGTTGTAAATGGGTGTAGCCGGTCCCTTGGCTCCGATTTTAACCGATTTTTGTTTTACTCATCGGACGAAATAAGTACAAAATTACAAAGTACAATACTGATGAGCTTTCATGCTAGACATACGTAGCGTTTTTACGATTAGCTTTCAGAACATGCAAAGCGTTAACTATTAATGAGCTCTACAGAGGTCCCCGTGAACTTATTAAGTATTGTTATGTAACATTATGTAATTTATAATAAAATTACGTCATCATATTATATAGCCAACAACAAACCTACTTAGTTGTGTTTCTCTTAACTATTGCCTATCAAAGAGCGCAAGTACCCAGAACACTACAGCTTCATAAATATTGGGGGAATAGACCCAATTTGGCAGTAGCAAGATTTAGGACTTGTTTTTCAACTAGGATAGCAAAGATTTGATCCAAAGGCAATTTAAACTGTTCTTTTTCTTAAAGAACGTAAATTTTGTACCGTGACTAATAGATTATTTTCGAATCACGTTAAACATGATGATGTATGTGATATGATGATTATTTTCCATTTTAAAATTATCTTGTCTCTCATGACTCTACACAATCGGTTAAATTCGGAGGACATATACACTCAATTACAACATTTCCGCTTCCATTCATCGAAACTGAAAAACGATTCCATAGCATAGACTATTAGAATGTACTTTCTTCAATGAGTCTTTGAGAAAACAAATAAAAAACAAAGAATATAGACAAACAGCGGTTCACTCTTTGATAAGTTGTCAAAGTTTTACCATATAGCATTCCTTGTCATTCCTGTTTTCTAAAAGATCCAAGAGTCCTGAAAATTTCATTTTATAAAAATATTTTTACTAAAAGGTTAATCCGCAATAATTCTAAATCCAAGTTGCTCAAGTCTTAACAATGGAAATTGTTCCGGACGTGTTTTTCAAACGATTTAGACGTGTTTTGTAAGAACATAGAATACGACATTCGTTAGAATGGAGCAAAAAGGTAAGCATATTCTATATTTTACAAACTATCATTACTTGACTTCTACCTAAGATCTTTTTCTTCATACACACGTATCTATTTTGGCGATCATTCCATCATACTTCATAGAACTCGCAATTATATACCAAAATGCCAGAAATATGTATATGTATTTTAGTGTTATTTATTTAAGTTTAAACAGACTATCCATTCAACAACGTGGAATAATATTCACTACTCTAAAGATCGTGTTTTTATTTTTATCTTTATCTTAAAATTGCCATAAATGACTGTAAATGTAGAAAGTGGAGTTAACGATGGACAAGGGATATTTTTGGACACGTCCAAATAGTTGACGATACCCTTTATTTCTACATCGATTGCCCAACAGTAGTGAATTTCTGGAATGACATGTCAATTTTTTTCAATAACATTCAATTAAACAATAGGGATATATTACTAGGCGTGACAAATAATCAAGAAAATGACAAAAAATCTGTACTAAACTATTGCCTACTTTAAGACTCCTACTTTACGCAAAAAATACATTCACTCTTCCAAAGTGGGTAATTCGATTATCAACATCAACGGTTTTAAAAATACATTAAAAATATCTTAAGAAACAAAATAAAAAACGAATGAAGAATATCAACAGAAAATAGACTACGCCAATCTTTACTAGAAAATGAAATTCTATTCTTAACAAATTAGAGACACATTTTTAACAAAAAACTGAACTGTACTCACTTGTGTTTTATTACCGTAAATGTATTTTCACCATTCTATGTACCTGTATGCTATGGTTATGTTGTACAAACATGTCCAATTTATTATGTTTTTATGTTTCGGTAATAACGAGGTAATTCTGTCGACTATTACAAGTACCAAAAATTGTGTCTTTATGTGTGTGAATTATATTGTAAATGTAAATATAAAAGTAAAAGTAAAAATGATAATCAATATACTATGATAAAAAAACATTCGAAAAAGTTTAATTCCAAAAAAACGTATTCGATCAATTGCTACTTATTTAAGCTTTTTTAATTTGTGATTTTCGCACAAATTGTGAGTTTTGTCCTAATGAATCAATGTGTTAATTGATGGCAGGCTAGTGATTTTCAGGCAAAAATATGTGTAACACATAACCAAATTTTTCAACCTACCTCTCAAGATTTCCAAAAACACGTCTAAATCGTTTGAAAAACACGTCCGGGACAATCTCCACTGTGAACACTTGGTCACCGTGAATATCGATATTTGTACATAATCGGAGATCTGCATCTTAAATCTGTAATTATTTTCATAGCTGAGTAGAAGCCTCAAATCTTTTTTTCAAGTAAATCACCGGATCGTAAGAAATGCATGATTATTGATAATATTGCTATTTTACGCTTCTTTTCTGCTAAGAATTGTGCATGCGTTTGTCATGATCAATTGTCTCAATACCTTAAGTTCGCTTTGATTACTGAACCTAAGCTTAATGACGTTTCTTACGTAATCTGCCTACATGACCATGCGGGATGTTCGCTTCGCTCGCACCTGACGACCGATTTGTATACGATGTGGGAGAAATATAGTCTGAAAATGTGGAACTTATAATTAATTCGCTCAGTACCAAACCTTTTTTGAGACGCATGTACCCGTTGATTATGGGAGTGCATCGTATTCATAATTTGCTTCAAGCAAATTTACCAATACATTACACTAATTTCTTAAAGCTTATAGCAATATTATTTCCATTTTTATCTATGAATTTCATTATTTCGTCTGGAAAGAATTTTACAAAGAATTAATAGTGATAAAAGCATGTTATTTTCAAAACTATGTTTTCCCACAAAATCCTAGCCTTTCACTGATTTCACTGATTTGTACTACTTTACAAGAAACACACCCAAACGTGTTTTATTTGTATAAGAGGGATCCTAGTTTAGTCCTCATCATATGTCACTACAAGGGCCGATCAAAAAGTTTCTTACCATTGGCTCTAGATTTTATAATAAGAGGAGTTGGAAGCTCAAACTTTAACATGAGACAGGATAGTTAGTTTGCTTGAAACTTTACGAGTTTCATATCAATTGGTTTATTGATAGTGACACAGAGTCAATTCATATTTTCGATGATTGAATTAGGTGGAGCAGCGTTTTTTTAATAAAAAATTGAACTAAGCTGCAGTTTTGGAAATTTCTAACGCTAAGTAGTGTCATCTGTCAACAGACTGTAGTTTAATTATGTTTAATTATTTTTTCTGCTAATATTCATACTCATTCAAAATATTCAACCCCAGTTGCAATGCACTTCCTATATCTGTCCACTAGATCCAAAAACACATGTTTAAGGCAATCGTATGAGAGGTTTTAAACGATGTCGGTAAATTTCCAGAACCACAACTCAGCAGATATTTTATATATAACGCTGCTCCACCTAACTTTGTCATTGAAAATATGAATTGACTCTGTGTCACTATCAATAAACCAATTTATATGAAACTCGTACAGTTTCAAGCGAACTAACTATCCTGTCTTATGTTAAAGTTTGAGCTTCCAACTCCTCTTATTATAAAATTGAAGGCCAACGGTAAGAAACATTTTGATCGGCCCTTGTATATCTACAATTGCGCACTCCTAGAGGGCGCCCAAGTCGTTACGCATACATAGAAGGTTATCCATGAGTGCATTCG